ACATTTCTTGGGGGTCTCCGCGATTCTGGTGCTCTCTCGCCCCCCGGCTTCGTCGGATGGGAAAAACTCCGGGCCGGCCTGAAGTTGCCCTCTCCCCGGAATTTACCTGCACCTCTTCTCACACATGCCAAATGTGATCAATTTTCCATTTTTTGCATCCTAATTTTTTAAATATGTTTCGTGGATAATCGGAGTTGGCTGCAACCAACTGTAGCTATTATTCGATCCGTAGGGCATTGATTATCTGCACCTCTTAAGACATATAAATTTGTTCTTTAAATTTTGATATTAATTTTATAAAATCCGTCATCTTTATCAATTGAATTAAATTTCAAATACTGTATCAGAAATTCCGGAGAAAGCTCCCCATTTTATTCAAGCCTCGTTTATAACGTCAATTTATAGTTTAAACGAATGAAATCCGCATAGAATATTTCTAATGATTTAAGGCTAAATTTTCGGAAATGAATATGCAATTATTGACTGCAAGGAGAAAGATAGTTATACAAGTCGTCCCTTTTTGGCCATATGTTTCAAACAAAAGCAAGGCAAGCAAAGCAATGCCTCTAATGATAGTGCATTCTTCCACCATTTCGCGTCTTCGAATTATTATTTTAGCATTTTTCACTATTTACTATTTTCATTGATTGCTGATTTTTGAAGGTACCGGCTATGCATAGATTGTTCTCTAAGAATCCCCTAGTTGTGGTACGGAGAATATAACTCTTAATGTCCGCCCCTTTCCGCACTCACCTTTGGAATCAATTTTCCGATTTTTTTTTAATTTGACAACCAGGGTTGAAAAGCGGCTCCGCGACTTTTCAACCCTGGCCCCGTCTTACCCCCCATACTTCGTCACTTTGCATAAACACCTGAATTCCTGTGCAGAAAAATGGAAAGCGCGTCCTCTCCCCATTATAACGGCTGTTAGTAGGTGGTACAAAAAAAAGTTCCAAAAGGTTTTATTAAAAAATGTAGCAAAATTGAAGGTAATCAAAGTTCGTTTCGGAGCAGAACTCCATCGTTCCTTGGCATCGTTAACTATTTTGTTTCGCTTTAACTTTGGGATGCTACTCCCAGATCTGGCAAAAACTAATCCGCCCTCCCCCCCTCGATTGAGCCCATTATTTGGCGGGCCCGTACTCAGATATTGGCAGCCAATTTCGGGGAATTTTTTTGGTGCATTCCGGGGCCCCTATTCTTTTTGCCTTCCTTGATTAAGGCCTCCCGGGCATTTGCCTCACATTTTCGGGTCGTGCTACCGTAATCCTGCCTTAATCTGTTAAATGTAATCAAGAAATTTGCGCTAAATCTTGGGTTTTTGAGGCTCGAAATTGGAGCCTGGATTTTTAATCGATTTGCAATCATTTTGTCGAAATATTTTGTCTAAATACAATTTTTCCGAAAATCAATTTGATGAAATTTAAATGAAATGAAATTTCCACAAAATGATATTTCGACCAATTGATTTTCAGCGAAATCAAATAAGCCTCTTTAATGAGCCTGATTCAAGATTTAAGGCCCTTAAATAAAAAGAATCGCAATTTAATAAAAAGAACATCAATCCGGATTCGATGTTTCAAGAATTTTTAGAGCTTTTTATTAGGCGTACCTGCTAGTCCTTGAATATCTTTGAATTGTATTCCAAAGCCTTTTTCATAGTTTTTTTGCTAGAAAGTTGCAACACAAATAGTAGCCATAAACTAGAAATTTCGAACATTTTTATCTTTTTACGCATTTTGAAACATATTCAGCAAACAGCCAAAAGTTTTACCTTTTTTAAAATCTTTACCTGGAAAAATCTAATCTAAAGTGGTTGTAAAATGGCATCAAAATAATTTAGATCTGTTAGAGGGCCATAAGAGATTGCTGGGGGAAAATTACCTCCACCCGCTAACCGCCCAGTACCAACTTGTCTTCACCTTAAAACACCTCGTATGATTTTCGTGTTGTTTATCACGCAGGTACCGGCTTAATTTGGTCGGATTTGGGCCCTCTGCGTCTCTGGCCCCATGTGTGAGCCAGGGAGAGGGCCCAGTAAAAAATACTCGGGCCCAACGGCTTCTTTTCAGCCGGGGGCACCTCGTGGGTGCCCTCGGGGCACATTTCTCGGGACGCGTTCTCTCTCTCACTCTCTCTCCCTCTCCTTCTCTCTCTCGCCCTCTCTCTCTCTGTCTCTCTCTCTCTCCCTCTCTCTCTCTCTCTCTCTCTAACTCAACACGTCACCCATCCTCCCCATTCCCCCGGAAGCAAGAGCTTGTTTTTTGCCAGTGGCCCTCACCCCCTGTGTACTTTAGCCCCGGCGAAAAGCCCACAATAAGCTTGGCGGATAACTTAAATACGAGATTTATCGATTCGAAAAGAGGATTTTTACTGTTATTTCGACTAAACGTTAATTTTTCGGATTTCCAGGAAATTCAGATTTTCGCAAAAAGATGTTTCTCAACCAAAAAGTGAAAACTTTCCGCTACTTCATGTAATCTTCCATAGTCGGCATTTTAAAAATAAATTTTTCGTTTTTCTTCGATATTTTCTACATGAATTTTGATGTTCAGATCTCATTAAAAAAACCCAAATTTTCCCCGAAAGCGAGCGCTGTTAGAAAATTTAATGGCTAATAATTAATCCAAATGGTGGGTTTTAATCCAAAATTGGCAGAATTTCGAAACAATGTGTTTCTCGTTATTAGAGAGTAAATTTCCCGCCAAACTTTCTAATATGTATTCCCGTCGTTGCGACTAACTGGCTTTCTAGGCAGAACAATGACTTCTTGGCCCCTTTAAATGTGCCTTATTTTTGCTCGAAAACCAAGCGAAAAGTGTATAATTAAAGGTAAAAATGAAACAAATGCTAGCGAAATAAAATGCTTTAACTTTCTTTCTCTACTTCGCTAGTTTTCTCGAAAATGTGTTTCCCGTTTTTATCGGGAAGATGTGACGCCAATTTTTCTAATTATTTGAGTGTTTTACGGGGTTTCCAACAAAGCACAGTGACTTCCTGGTTCCTTAAAATATGCCAAAATTCCGAAGAATAAGTTCGTATAAAAAATGGATAAATGATAATAAAAAAATGAAACTCATCAAGGAGAGCTATCTGGCTTCAGACAAAGAACAGTGACTGCCTGGTCCCTTTCAATAGTCCTAAAAATTCCGGCAAAAGAAAGTGTTTGTTTTTAAAAGCATTTAAATGGACAAAAATTAAGCATATCTTAAGCAAGCCATAAATTCTTCAACAAAACCCGCAGATTTTACAAAAACTTGTTTCTAGTTTTTACCGTGTATATGTAAAGCCAGTTTTACTAATTTGACTAACTATGTAAAATGAATCCGTTGTTGCTACCTGGTTTTACCTAAAGAATTCTGTCTTTCTGGTCCCTTAAAACAAGACGCGGTGTTCAGAAACTAATTGTGCTGGTTTGCGTATGGTTATATAGATAAAATTTGTCACATTGTAAGCAACGGATATTGCATAAAAAGGCCGTTTGAAAGTTTGTAAAAGTGGATTTATACAATTTCGACTCTTGCTGTACGACCCGTACGACTGTTGTTGCTATTGCTGTTTACATTTTCGCTAGGCATATCGTCATTTAAACATGTATCAATTCGGTTAAGAACGTTCAGTCCATTGAAGGTCCACAAACACGATTTTCGTATATCTGCGATAAAACATGTTTTTTTTTCTTACTGATTCCAAAACTCATTTTTCATTCTTTGTTTTATTTCTATTCCTGTAGCACGGTGGCCTCGTCGTCGTCAGGAGCATGGGGCGGCCATCCGCCCCACCGCCGCTCCATTTCGACGGCCGTCGCCCCGAATCAGCGCGATTTGCAGCATTTCTATCGGTAGGTGCGAGTGAGAGCGAGAGAGAGCGAGAGAGAGAGAGAGAGAGAGAGAGAGAGAGAGAGAGAGAGAGAAAGAAAGAAAGAGAGACCGTCGCATCTCAAACAAGATCTCAATTTTTAGCACGAACTTCCCGGATCGCTGTGCGCCTCCATCTGGCCAGACGACGCCCACGAATTCGGCGCAAATGGGCGGAGCCTACGGACAGCCCTTCTACGGGCAGCCAGCCTCTTTTTATAATGTACGTTTTTTAAGCCTATGCCTAAGCCCAAGCCTAACCTAAGTTAAGTCTAAGCCTAAACCCAAACCTAAGCGTAAACCTAAACTTAAGTTAAAGCCTACGCCTAAGCCTATGCCTAACTTAACCCTAACAAGGAGTGCTTTTTTGAGTCATCGGCAATACCTGACGAGACCTAGCTCATTCGATAAAGAATTCGATTCTGAGCAAGACTCAGTTGTCCTTTTTTTTGCGATGGCTATCCCTGATTTTATAAAATTTTAAAACTGCACCCAAAAGCGTCTCTTTTCGCTCGAAAGGCACTCATGGTAAGAGACGGCCACTAGTATTTTAATTTTTTAAAATCAGAGACAGCCATTCCGCAAAAGAGGACAACGGAGTCTTGCTCAGAATTTAATTCTCTATCGAATGAGCTAGGTCTCGTCAGGTTTTGCCGATGACTCAAAAAAGCACACCCTGGGAAGCCTATTTATAAAAGGTAAAAATTATATGTTCCTGATTTCCTAGAGCATGACCTAAATTTTATGGAAACTAATGAGCGATCAGCATGCGCTGCAATTTTTAGACATTTACCGTTTAGAGACCAAGAAAATTATTAAACATTAGCGCACCTTAATTTCCTTTCGATAGTCCTTAAATAACATAATTTTCCTTATATAAATTCCGAGTATAAAAGAAAGATAAATAAAAAGAAAAGCAAATAAAGAGTAAGTAAGTAATGAGTAAATAAGATAAAAAGTTTTTCGCGTTTTTTGGTTTTCGTTGAATTCTCCTATATTCGGAAGGAGTTCAATACCACCTCCACTAAAGGAAAAATATTCTGGACATGAAGTAGAAAAGTCTAAAACTAAATTAAAGTTTTTGAAGATTAAAACAAAAGACTTGAAATTGCGAGGGTTGCCCGAAATAGTCGACGATTAATTATGATCCCGCGCTTCCGTATACTATTCTATATGAAGCACTCGGATTTCCAGGATTCGCAGCAGCCCATCTACCACCGCGAATTCGACCCCAACCGATTTTCTCCTCCGGTG